TAATAATTAGTCGCCTAGAGCCTCTTAATTCTTAGGGCCGGCCCTGGCGAGGAAAGAAGAGGTTGCTCGTACATGTTACTCCCTGTTAAGACTTGCAAGATATAATTAACTCACTTGACAAGGCATTAGACGAAGCGAGGAAAACGGTGGTATCAGGACTTATAGAAAATACTCGACTCGCTTGGTATGGCCTTAGCTGAAGCGAAGAAAGAAATGGCTTGTGCTAGTTCCTCCCCGAGACTTACATAAAGTAGTCTACTCACATGGCAAGGCCTTAGCCGAAGCAAGGGAATAAGAGGTGATTAATGCAGATTATTACCTGCCAAGACTTACTTGAAATAGTTAACTTGCTTAACGAGACATTAGCCAAAGTGAGAGGAAAAGAGGTGGCTCGTGCAAGTTACACGCTATTGAGACTTACGTGAAATATTCAATTCGCTTGGCGAGACCTTAGACTCAGTCAGAAAAGAAGAGGTGGCTCGTTCATGTCAAAAACAATTAAGTGCCTGTCTGGAAGCACTGAAATGAAGCAGAAATGGGATTTTTTGACCGTTAATTTTCAAATGGTGGGGCCTGCTATGACTCAACAAAGTAAAAAACTGTGGGCAATTCACTGTGGTAACGGGAGGAATTATGATTTTAATGGTGCCCAGACACGCCCTAAATAGTAGACTAAAAATTATTGAATAGAATAAGAATAGGTGGTTCGTTAAGGTGAAGAAAGAGAATGGAGCTTGCTCTAAGCTCATTCTTGATATGTCGATGACATTCTGAATGATATTCCATGATATGGCAATCAATTTTGTCATTGATTTCTCCAAAGATTATTTAAATCAATAACCTTGATTTTTATACCTAATGGAATGTCATCCAAGATGTACGCATTTAATGTACAAGTAGGTTAATCCCCAAAAATAATGGTCAATGATTGGAGGAGAGAGATGGATACGTACAGGTATTTATTGGGAGAGAGAATCTGAGTTTTGAGAAAGAGAAAAAAATTTGAAGGTTTTAGGATAGATAAGGTGATTATTCAAATTGCGATTTTGTAAATAATAATCATTTAATCCAAAGTAAAAAAACAATGTCATATTTCAAAATGTACAATGTAAAGTAAACATTTTCTCTATTTTTCTGTAGGATAATGCTAAAGGTACATAATAATCTACATAAGGGTCTACATAATGCAGATGTGGCAATCATCCGGTGGTTTATGTGTAAGTGTCATATTTGAATTAAATGTGGGATCACCTGCCACATATGCATTATGTAGACTCTTAGGTAGATCCTTATGTACCTCTAGCATTGTACTTTTCTGTAATGACTATTTCGCATATTTGTCCTCAATAGTTTTTGAATATGAAGTGAGTTCAGAGGTGGCACTTCTTTAGCCATTGGGCCCCATAGATTTTACGCTACAAAGCAACCTTTTTATCAAATCTCAATCTTAGCCTGACAAGTTCGAACAATTTTGGCATACACGGTCGTTTGTAGATGGAATGCTAGACAATACATTCATATGATCACATCATTCGTACATTCTTCTATAAATTAGGTCATACATCTGTTAATGACATTGTCGTGCCGTATGAAGAGAGGAACACTCTTAAAGCGTGACATCTCGTCTTGCCTCGATATGGAAGATATTTTGAGAATGAATTTTATGAAATTAGGTTTTTTTGAAGAATATATTGTGAAAATATAAGAAAATATTATGGATTTCGATATAAAATTATTTTATCGAGTGAACGTATAATTAAAAATATTTTTTTAAAAAAGCGGACTGACTTTATAATTATTGACTTTGAAAAAAATTGGACGGGCTTATTTTATTGACTCAATAGTTACATTAGTATAACTTTTAAAACTTCATTTGGCACATAAATCCAAATTCTATCATTTTCAAGTAATGCTATTCCACGAAATTGATGTCAAGCACCGATTTAAGTGGAAATTGCATGAGATTAAACGATGGGTTCATTTAGTTCTTGTTAGGTAGGATTAAAATTAATTTTTTAGTAAAATTTAATAAAAGTTGATGAAATATGTGATTGAAAAGTCATTGATCTCATGAAATGTGCGGTTAAAATTAATTGTTGACTTTGATTTAAATTAAAATCTAAATTTTAATCCGAACCAAACATGTGCTTAAATGCAATATCACATGATTCATTTAATTGAACATATCAAATGTCGCCACCTACAGTGGTGAGCACTACTAATGCTAGATAGCATTATTCATTATTTTAACACTGTCCAAATTTTCACTATTTTGCTCAAATTCATTGTTACATTTAGAGCTTGTCTCGGAGAAGTTTTTTAGAGGGAAAAATAATTTTTTGGAGAACGCATAATTAAAAAGTAGGAAAAAAATTATGAATTCTGTAAAATATTTGGTTGAAAATTCGTTTGGAGAAAATTTATTTTTCAAAAATTCTCTTTCAGACGAGTTCTTAATAAATTGTTACGGTCAAGTTTTATCGGCATATTTCTTTTTTGACTTGTTCTTTTTAGATTGAGTAATGTTATCATTAGGGACTCTAGATGATCATTATCGGACTGATGATGATCATTATTGATAATAGATAACATTACTTTCGATAATTTCTTCTAATTTATTGATGAAAATAATTATTAAAAAAACAGAAGTTTGCAAGACTTTCATACCCCAATAAGCACATCACTAATTATTTTGCCAATACTAGGTGGGTAAGACAAACAAAAATCATTAATAAACAAGGCTTAGGTTTACCTAAATAATATTCTTTCCAATTTTATTTTATTTTCTAATAATTATTCAACTGAATTTAGATAGATGAGATAGTGAGATTCTTCGCCGTCCATACAATTAATTATTTATTTATACAAAAAAACCGTGTGAGTTATGCTATTCTTAATTAGTAGAAAAAAAAAAAAAGATTTTTAAAAAATATTGCAATAACGCGGCCGCATTTAACCCACAAAGGCTTGAAATCACATCATCATTTGGGACCACTATTGTGGTGGTTAGGACTAGGAAAAATATTTTGAAAATAAAAATAAAAATTA